TTGGAACGTTGTTCTCCCTGCCAGTTTATCTTCGGTTCTGTAAAGAAATCAAAGAACTGATATTGGAAAGCTTGTCGGCCACAGGATAAACAACAAGATATCATCGATAAAACATGTATAAAGGCACTCATAAGTTGCAGAAATAATAGATTCATGTTAACTGACAGATATTCACAGTGTTGACTTGAATGGTATGTGAAAACAAATGTAAACTAAAAGAAATTCGGAGTACTTATGTAGAATTCTTTCGCTAATTATAATTTCGTAATTACAGTCAAGAAAAATCTCTGGGAGTAGCAGTGCTACTCTAAATGTGTGATCATATTACCTTGATATGTAGACAAAGACTGAAATCTGCCCTCGAAAAGACCTTTTATGCATTCAGGAATCCAATATCTATCTTTCGTGTTAGCTTTAAGAACATATGAAAAAAGTCGCATCCCATCGTACTTCTCAATTTAAATGTACGTGGTCAAAAATGAATAAGAAGGACTAATGGACCTCTGCAAGTAAAGGCTTACAGGCATGTTTCCAAGTAGCTGCAGGGAACTTAAATCTCAAATATTACTTTTGGTGATAATTGACAGATATGCCTTCGAACTGAAAAATATAAGACTAAAGTTTGTTCATGTCTTTCAAAAGTCACAATAAAGTAACTCTGAATTTCGTAGATTTTTCACTGGTTTTCAATGGACTCTCAAAATGATGTTGGTTTGTAACGACATCTAACAATTAAAATCAAATAAATCCAAATCTCCACAAATCGCATGACTTTAATTTTGTTTTTATACGAGGACTGGTGAACTATTTTGTTGAAATTCATGAAGTGAACTAATCGTTTCACACGTAAAAGCTTTGTTCAAAATAACAAAAATAATACCATTTCAAGAAGTTCTAGGCAGAAAGAAGAGACAGGGCAAACAGTGGCTCACTACGGACATTCGGGGACTGATAGAAGAGAGAGGGAAGCTGAAACAAAAGATAATCCAGTGCACCGACGAGCAACAAAAACAGGATTTGAATGCAAGCTACAAGACCCTGAACAAAAGAGTAAAGAAGAGTGCCAGAGAAGACAAAAGAAAATATTATGAAGCCATGGCAAGTGAAGCAGAACAAGCTGCAGGCAAAGGAGACCTCGCAACACTATACCAAACTACTAGGTACCTATCGGGCAAACGTTTGAAACAAATCAAGCCGGTGAAGGATGACAATGGAAAGTCACTCACCAAAGAAGTGGAGCAAAGGAAGCACTGGGCTGAACACTTCAAAAGACTCCTAAATCGACCACCACCTACAACGCGCCAGACAATACCAACAACGGAGACAGAGCTACCAGTGAACACCAACCCTCAGACGAAATCAGAAGTCCTGAAGACAATCAAGATGCTAAAAGCTGGAAAAGCGGTAGGACCAGATGGAATCCCAGTAGAAGTATTGAAAAAAGATCCAGAGACAACAGTGGACTTGATGACGCCACTACTGGAGAAGGTGTGGAACTACCGAAGAAAGGAGAACTAAGTCAATGCAAGAACTGGCGCGGAATTATGCTCCTGTCCATCCCAAGCAAAATACTAAGCCACATCATCCTGGAGAGAATCAAACACGCCGCTCTGGATGAAAAACTTCGACAGGCTGGATTCAGGAGAAACAAGTCATGCATTGATCAGATCGCCACATTACGGATCATCATTGAACAAAGCTTGGAATGGTAGTCACCTCTCTATCTCAACTTCATCGACCTTGAAAAGGCCTTCGACAGCGTCGATCGAGAGGTGATTTGCCAACTACTTCGTTACTACGGGGTGCCACCGACAATTATACATCTCATCCAACAGCTGTACGACAATGCTGCATGCCAAGTAATCCACAACGGGAAACTTACGGAATCCTTCGAAGTGAAGATGGGAGTACGACAAGCTGGCTGCCTACTATCGCCAATGATTTTCCTGATTGCAGTAGACTGGATAATACGACAAACAGTGGGCAATGAGGAAACAAGCATAAAATGGACTCACACAAAAAACTTGGAGGATCTGGACTTCGCCGATGATATGTGTCTGATTTCCCACAAACTGGAAGATATGCAAGCGAAAAGCAACAAGTTGGCAGAAGAAGCATCAGGTGAACATAGAGAAAACGGAAGTGATGAAGATTCCTGAGCAACACCAACAGACAACGATCAGCATAAATGGAAGGAACCTGAAAGAAACAACCTCTTTTACCTACCTGGAAAGCATCGTCTCAACTACAGGCGGAACTGACGAGGATGTCAAAGCAAGAATCGGGAAAGCAAGACAAGCTTTCACTACTCTCAAGCCTGTGTGGAGGTCAACAGAACTCAGCATCAAAAATAAGATCCGGATTTTCAACTCCAATGTGAAGTCAGTCAGTGCTACTATACGGATCAGAGACTTGCACTGCGCGTCATAAAGAGCATCTCAAACAAACTACAGACCTTCATTAACAGTTGTCTTCGCTCAATACCACTCAAGATGAGATGGCCGGCCAGAAAAGATCAGCAACAGGGATCTCTGGGAGCGAACCAACCAGGAACCGATTGTGAAACAAATGGGCAGGAAGAAATGGAGATGGATTGGCCATACTCTGAGGAAACCATCAAGTGACATCACTAGACAAGCCATCGCTCGGGTGGAACCCGAAAGGGAAGCGGCGAGTTGGTCGTCCAAGGGTGACTTGGAGGAGATCATGTGGAGAGGAGATGAAAACATGTGGACAGACTTGGAGCCAGGTGAAGACTCTGGCAGAGAACCGAACGCAATGGAGGCGCACGGCTGAAGCCCTATGTTCCTCTAGGAATTAAAGGAAACAATAATATAAATAAAATAATAATAAGATTTTTATATCAGAAATTCATTATTTCTTGATAAGCTTCACAAATAAGGATAGATATTGTGACTTCCAGGGTTTTAATTCGGCTTGTCACACGAATTTTTAACATCAGTGGTAAGAAAGTCAAATGAAACGAAGGTATTTTTGATGCAGGTAAAGGGGATTCCGAAAACACGCCAAAACAATTAAATATATCAGATCAGGGTATAATATGAAAACAATATAAATAATCCATACCAAAAATCACAGATAGGACAAACTACTGTATTAAACACAAATAGTGACACCTAGGGTGCAATAGAAGAAAGAGATTTCTGCAGGAAAAATGAGAAAAAACACACCTGAACGATGTCCGTATTCCACGATTTCAGGTCGGTGGGGTAGAGATTGTGAATTCGATGGACTGCGGCTACGACGACTAATTTCTATGTGATGTCGACTTAAACTGGCAGATACTGGATATGGTCGCATCATTGTAGGGTCTCTTGAACGCGGCGGGCTCCTACTAACTGCACGGCATTCTCGCCGACTTTCTTCCAGCCTTGTTCGAGCGAACAGGTTTGATCTTAAGTGGTCATGTCGCATTTCCGAAAAGTGGTTTCTTTCAGTGCGGTAACGTTGGGAAGAATACGCATCGGGGTGAGAAACCACGGATAATTTACGATCGCCGAAATCATTACGGTGACTATGACTGAAAAGAAAAGATAATTTAGTGATAAATGTAATTTATCTTATTCACACATCTACATGAGAGTAACCGTCACCCTATCAAACTTTTCCACGAACAGCAAAACTTTCATTGGGTATGTTAAACAGTCTGCGGAATTATCTTTAATTATATTTCAACAGTTTACACGTAATAAGTTTTTTTTACCATTGTGTCTAGACTGTTGACATACCATTATAATTAATTTGATCTACTCCATTATGCACAAACCCTTCAGTCCACAGAACATTAAAGCACTTAGGTATGAAGCCAACTATGAGTACGGTGAAATGAGGATATTAGGAAAATTATCGGTCAGTAAAGTTGTATGGTGCAATTATTTCACACGGAGTTTTACACCAAAATACAGCCAAATAAAGTACTTAATATTTATTTTTTTAAAACTACTACCACAATAGTATGATCGATTTCGAAAGGAAAGCAATGACTAAAAGCATATGGTCATCAGACACCTTTCCGATATCTGCAACTAACCTGACACTGAGTCTACCAAACAAGCTCAAGCTCAGTATACTTTATCTTAAAAAACTGCTCGAATCTTCAAAGAAATCAAAGTTTTATTTCATCTTACACTTCATATGCATATTTGTAACACGTGTCATGCAGGAGTTGGATTAAGTCAAATGTTAATATAACCCTAATGAATTACAGGACACAAGTATTTTACTGAATGCTACAATCCGAAACGAGACCGGATTCCCTGATGCACTGAAGTCTATGAGAATTATCACCATTACTAAGTCAATTGAGTAGGAGGATTCAACTACACCCCTTAGCATGAAACAATGAGCTACCGGAACAAAAGATTTTCCTAATTTTAAAAAGCAGATAAATCTGTATGGCTGTTTCTGCCTTCTAGCACTAGATCACGTGGACTAAACACGCATAATCCAACCTGACCTAGTTCTCTGGTTTAGTTTTGTAGCCAGTTTGAAGCCAAGAAAAAAGGGGAGCTAGCGCATGGGGCTAGCGATTCTACTCCGGAAAAGCAGTCCTATCGCTACAAAGTCCAAAACAAAAACAAACGTTTTCCTTGCTGGGATCGGAATCTAAAACGACAGGTGGAATAGATGTGGACTGCCCAAATTCTAAACTGGAGAGTCAATAGTCAACTCCGGTTACCCATACGACATCCGACAGAACACTGAGGGAGTGGCTACCATGTTACCAACACCATCAAGAGCCATTATGCAGTCGGAACGAATCTCTTCCAGGATAATGACGGCAAGACTCCACTCGAAGGGAAGGAGGATTACAATCAACTAATGCTACGCGCATACAAACAACTCAGAACAAAAGAAATATTTCTATAAACAACTGCAAAAAAGAATTGGATGACCATCATAATAAAAGATTTTGTATTTCCCAATGAATAAAAAACAAAACGATATTGTTTTTACTGACGTTTCGCTATTTAATGCTAATAGCTTTATCAAAGTATTATTAAACCGGAATTTACAAAATCTCAGCAAAATTGGAAATTCTCTCTGGTTTAAACTAAAACCAAAATCTTATGTACCTTGAAGATTTTACGGTCAACCAAAGATACATAAACCCACAGTTCCATTAAAACCAGTAATAGATTTCACCAACTCACCGACATACAACCTATCTAAATACTTACTCTCGGTACTACAACCACTACAAAAGGACACTCGAAATATTGTAAGAAATTCATATGATTTTAAATCCCAAACAGAACACCGAGAAATTGATAAAGGAGACATTATGGTAAGCTATGATATTAACTCATTATATACTAGTATCCCTATTACTGAAAGTCTTGATATCATTTCCAGTCTACTAGAATCACATACAGCACTATCAAAAAGATGTCCACTGGACACCAGCAAATAATTAAGAGCTTGAAATTCTGTCTAGAAAGTAATTATTTTACATTTAAAGGGAGTTTATATAGACAGACAGACAAATGGTGTTGCTATGGGTTCACCAGTCTCCTCAATAGTCGCCGACCTTTTCATGAATAAATTCGAAAATAACATCTTTTCAAGCATACTCACTCCTAAAATATGGTTAAGATATGTAGATGATACTTTTGTAGTACAAAAACGAGATCTACACAATTCATTCCTGGAGAAAATAAACGGTGTATCTCCCAGAATCCATTCATTTCGGAAGCAGAGTCAGAAATCGGTGAACTACCATTTCTAGACTGCCTAGTTAAGAGAAATGAAACAGACACTTTAGTATATCCATATTCAGGAAGAAAACCCACTCCAATAAATATTTAGACTTCAAATCATCACACCCCATCAGCGCAAAGATTTCAGTTGTTTCAAGTCTTCTTAGACGAGCACACCCTCTGATAACGGACGAGAAAGAAAAAGAAGAAATATCAAACATTACTGAAACTCTCAAGCAAAACAAATACCCAAGGGACTTCATAAACAAAATCAACAAAGACATTAAGTATGATTCCATTATGGGTAAATTTTTATTTTGATAGAGTCTCACAGTGTTATACAGTAATATTTACTGATGACGTTTCGAGCACAAACTATTGCTCATAATCATATGATTATGAGCAATAGTTTGTGCTCGAAACGTCATCAGTAAATATTACTGTATAACACTGTGAGACTCTATCAAAATAAAAATTTACCCATAATGGAATTACACTCTACCACAGTGCCCAAATTTTATTCTTATATCAACGACATTAAGTATGGCCGAAAACGCATTCCGAAAACATGGACCTTGACAGTCGTCCTTCCATATAGAGCAGAGACGTCAGATGATATCAGAAGACTACTCAATCAGCCAGACATTAGGGTTTTCTTTAAAACATCAGACACACTACGAAACAACCTTGTCCATATAAAAGACCAGATCCTTAAAGATTCTTTATCTAATTGTGTCTATAAAATAAAATGCCTAGAAGGTGATGCGATATACATCGGACAAACATCTCGAGAAACCAAAATCAGAAGAAATGAACACCGTAGAGCATCTCTTCGAGAAATCCAATTGAACCGGAAAAACTTGAAAAATCATCAGCCATAGGTCTACGTACTATAGAATCAGGTCACAAAATTGATTTTGACAATATTGAAATAATCCAGAAAAACTTCAGAAATCATAAAGAACGTCTAATATCAGAAGCACTTCATATCAAGTGGAATCCAAATTGCCTGAATAGGAATGATGGACTAAAACAGAATCTGACCTGGTTACAACACCTCCCTCCCCCCATCAAGTGACAAAATCAACACGAATGTGATATGCAAGTTCACTATGTAAACACACGCTGCCTTTATAATTTTAAACACTGATCAAATCCAACAATCTACACTTTATTTTGTTATCTTTACCAAATAACCGACTTGACAAGGAAAAATGACCCCAGACTAACGAACGATGATCAAGTTAGTAAACTTTGTTTTGATACCATAACAGATGTACTATTACCTTTGTTACTTGGTTCAGTGATCTTCATTGGTATTTTAACTTTTAATATGTCCTTTTAACTTGACCTAAGTCTATTTTCTCACCCCTTAAATCTTTGTTATATACATGCTGAGATTTTGTAAATTCCGGTTTAATAATACTTTGATAAAGCTATTAGCATTAAATAGCGAAACGTCAGTAAAAACAATATCGTTTTGTTTTTTATTCATTGGGAAATACAGAAACCTTTATTATGAGGAATATCATATACCCAATGCCCAAATTTTTTCAAACTTAAAAGTGAACTTGGTTTGGACATATTTAATAGAATTGGATGACATTCGAAATGGTGACATCAAAATCCTTATGGACGATATGAGTGCCAAACAAGAAGCAGACAATATAGGAAGGGAATTCATTATGGGTCGGGAGGCTCTCGGCGAAATGAATGAAAACGGAGAACTCTTCCTAGATCACTGCGCTTCCAACGATTTGGTGATTGGAGGGGAACACAAAGTTGAGAAGGGGAGCAGATGTGGACTCAGACCATTATATAGTGCAATAAAACTTCAAAGTCAAGGTGAGTGTCACCAAAGCAACTGGTGAAAAACCACAATTCAAGTCCGATACTCAGAAGCTGAAAGACAAGCAGAACGATGAAACACAAGATCAACCAATGCAAAGATGGACAACGACAAAAGAAAGAGGCTGAGCTCAGTCTACAGCTCACTGAATAAAGAAGTGAAGAAGGTTGGTGGGAAAGACAAAAGACAATTCTACGATACACTGGTTAGCATTAGAGGCAGAACAGGCAGGCCGAAGGTAAAAGAGACCTCACATAAGCAGGTCTCTGTCCAGGAAGAGATAAATACGGATGAAACCGAAGGAAGATGGTCAAGGGAAACTAATTACTAGAGAGGGTGAATGACGAAAACAATGAGCTGGCTACTTCGGGGAACTACTGAACTTACCATCATTTCCGACTCGTCCAGAAACACCACCAACAGCTACAGAACTGAGAGTGGACACCACCGTCCAACAAAAGAAGTCTTGAATATAATCAAGCCACTGAAGTCCGGGAAGGTAGCGAGACCAGATGGAATTTCCACTGAAATACTGAAAACTGATTCGGAGACCGCAACATATATGCTGACGCCTCTATTACAAAAAATTTGGAAGGAAAGGTACCTACTGATTGGAGGCTATCTTGTTAAACTAATAAAGAAGGGAGACTTATGCCTCTGCCAGAACTGGCGGGGAATCCTGCTCTTGCCGACATTAAGCAAATCACTAAGCCGCATCATCATGGAGAGAATAAAAGATGCACTGGATGCAGAACTTCGCCCCACTAAAGCAAGCTGGATTCAGGAAAGGCAAATCATGTGCTGATCAAACTGCAACTCTACGCATTATCATCATCGAACAAAGCATAGAATGGCAGTCAAACCTCTACCTCAGCTTCATCGCCTGCGAAAAGGCCTTCACCAGACAGCGTTGATCGAGAATTTGGAAGCTACTTCAACATCACAACGTGCAATGCTCAAGTCTTTATCAACCTGATTCAACAGCAGTGTAACAATACTACCTGTCAAGTGAGCCACAACGGAATTGAAGACAAAAGAAGACAAGGCTATCTTTTATCACCGATGACATTCTTGTGGTGACCTGGATACTGCGGCAAGTCGTAGGGAGCGACAAGACAGTAATACGTTGGATCGATAAAAGGACTCTAGAACACCAGAATTTCGTAGATGTTTTGTTTAATATCACACGAACCCGAAGACTTACAGGCGAAAACCAAGAAGAGGGAAAAGAGGTTGGCAGCATACACAAGGAATATGATGTTGGAGATCCACGCGTCACTAAGAACCCAAGGGAACAATAATAATAAACATGCATAATCCATTACGAATCCGCATGTGATACAAAACTATGTATGACACAATTTACAGCAACACTTCAGACTAAGTTGGTACAATCATGATTGTTTATTAAGCATTCATACTACAACTTTTATCTATTCTTGTTGACGAAAACTAAATGCAATAGTTAGCTTTCAAAGATGTAAATTTCATTTCTCATCTTTTAGATTACTTTTTAACAGTAATTAGACTTTCGACTGAGTGACAAGTTGCCTTATTAATGTAGGGCTTCACATAAAATTGAGGCTGCGCAATTTGCGACTGTGGTGGAGCGTGAGAAAAATCACAAAAGAAATATAGTACAATTATGGTGGATAAGAAAGTTTAGTGGAAAATAATTTGATGGGAATTAGCAAGGAGTTTTAGCACCTAAATGATCAAAGTGAAGACGTGTGTCACTATAAACGACTTTGAGGCATATCACCAACAGCTTCCAACTGTGTCTCCTTAAAATACCAAAGAGAACACTCCGACAGTCTATACCATCCTACGTAGCTCAAACCACCAGCGTCAACGTTAAATCTGACCACCCTTCACTTTGTTCTGGCCTTATATTTATTTCAACTGTGGCTCGGTGTGCTTGATGCATTTTATCGTGATTTCAATCGATCTCCATGGATTGGCTTTTCCTCCTCACCTAGCTCAGTATGCCTAAACTACTTATTACTGACTACGTGACATGCCATGTATGTAATTAGTATTAATGGACTACCTATAAATGACCATGAAGGCGTTTCAGACTTTTCGAACAGGACTTAGTTACCCACTAGAATGGTGAAGACACCTAAAAGAAAGACTAATATCTACTAAAAAGTTATTAGAGCTGTTGGACTGTTGACTGTCAACAAGTAGTTTACGGGTCCGAAGCCCAATATTTAGGCAGCCATAAAGTATGTCCGAACGTGACACAATGAATGTGGCCCATTGCCATGAGCATGTAGTCTGCTTACTGAATAAGATACCTAAGCATGTAAACTACTTTTCTCTAGCGTATAAGTCTAAAACTCTGAATAAAAATATTTTCAAGTGTTGGGTTGTATTGATGTGATTCACTCCGGGGTAAAATACATCACGAATTGAACTGTTAGAGAAAGCACCGAACACTTCTTTTCCCTTAATTTGCGACTCTTAAGTAGTGTGCACCCAAATACATGCCAGCAGTCGGAAACACCACCAAAGAGCTAAGAGATGAGTCTGTTGACCCCACCAGATTAGCTGCTCACTCCTGAAGATCCCCAAACTACGACGAAACAACTGCTCAATACACTCTTATTCTGAATGGTTCTCTAACTGGTGTCCGTAAGTCAAAAATTCTACCTCAAAGAATATTTCTTAACTGTAACTTACTAGGGTTCAGGACGATGTGTTGATTCATTTTGTTGAGATCTGTCATCATATGCTGACTTAAATGAATTTCTTCCTGCATATGATGGTTCTTGAGTCTCTCGCACGAGTCGACTAGATTCATAGGATCGAGCAGGCGACTGAGGATGATGATGCCTGCGTTGATAGAGATCAGGACGATGTATCTCGCGAATATCTTTCTCCACAGGACGTTCATTATGGAACGCTGCAACATGCTTCCTGGTAGTAGGTGGATCCATGTTGGATAAATAAGAGGACAAGGAAGAATGACCTCGGTCATATTCTGAATAGGCATTTGAGTTTATGCGGGCATTTGCCAAAAATGATTTTGATGACTGTCGAGTAAGAGTGGGTCTTCTGCGAATCTGATATGACTCAGTTACTCTGCGACTAGTATAATCCTGTCTTCTATGTGAAAACGGTTGTGCACCATGATTGCCACTAAGACGATGAAAGGAAAGTTTTTCGTTTGCATGATAAATACATAGTTGTGATGATAATATTGAACATTGCATTAAGTAAAAAAAACCAGATAAAATTAAGAAAGAAGTGTTTGTGCGAACCAGCACTACTCGTAAAACCCACTGCCAGTAATCATAACATGATTCTACTTGAATTATTTTTGCTGAAGCTTATATTGGTAGAAAGCTGTCAATGGCTTCAGGAACACATGTGTAGACTTTGATTACACACTAGTCCGCGAATGTATATGCCTAAGACTGAATGGACATGGAAAAAAGTACCTGTGGAATCGATAAGCCCTCCACTTGATGTGAACACACAGTCTTCATATAAGCAAGAAACTCGTATCTGAAGTTGACAGCGAGGTATCCTGAAGAAGTCTAGCACGATGTCCAGTGAGGTGCAGAAACACTGGTAAGGGCTGCCGATAGTCTGAAACCAAAGGTTAGAAATGCCAGTGCATTTCAGCTGCGACTTTATCCAGTGATAAACTCATGAGAACTAACCACTAGTTATTTCCATTACGGTGCTACAGCAAGTTAGTCGTATGAATAGCCCAGTGATCTTTGACTACAGGACTGAGTTATGTGTTTGTAGCAATACCCTCCCGGTAAGTGCCAAGAATCATGGAAACCAAGATCAGATATTCCCGTAGGCTCCATTGATCACCTAACATCGATAACGGTAGGGAGATGTCCCCCTGTGATAATTATACGGGGACTAGCTTGAATAATATAATATCTAAAGTCCCAGGTTAAATAATTCTGTATACACTGAGCAGCGCCTGAAAAAAACTAACCCGGGGAAACCACGCGGACCTGAGGTAAGGAAGAGGGTATATCAATCTAATCTTTACCCTTCGACACATTCTGGAACACAGGTATATTTTTACCTGCGGTCAGCACATGCATCTGCCAAGAGGTGCTCGGGCGACGTCTAGCAATGAATGGAGTACTGAGAAAGTATACCACTAATCAAGGCATCTCGAACTCACGCAATCGTGTAAGCGCTTATGGAGAACTGTGATCTGACAGTCGCTGTCTTCATTTTTGTTTAGTTTCATCAGATTAACTAATAGAACTGACCGTAATATGCCTTAGCAACTCAAGGACCTATATGTTACCAGGGTATAGTCTGGTTGAGTTAGAAGTGAAGAAGCTGACAAAAGTCTTCTCAACACATTGGGCGGAAATTTTCGTATGCTCAGCTTGCGATTCCCTACAGTCAAATGTGAAATGATGCTACAGGAATGAACTACGACGACTGCTGTTTTTGAGACAGGCAGTGAAGTGGCTAAGCGTGTTGGTCACTCCACTTACTTGGGAAGTTTCATCAGCCCGATTGGAGTGATTGCTGAGGAAATCACAACACCAATACGAGCTTATATGATTCTAGATATTTGGCTACCAACAAAAGGACGCACGTATTGCGCAGAAGTTTGGTCTTTCTTGTTAAGTTCTACTTTGGGAACTCACTCATTACCTATAACAGAGACAAACACCAGGTCGCTGAGTTGCATCAGTGTTATTATTATGTTACAATCATCTTCACAAGCGCCAACTACCATTGTCACCACCTTGATTTTGAAACTCCGAGGTCACGAGTGAAATGAGGACAACATACTACACGTGGAAGTCCCATTTTTTCAAATAACTTCACAACCTAACATAACAGTTAACCACCTTTTATACCCGATGAAATTCTTGACATGCATCTGCCACTTTTATGTGCTCACACTCGCACACCCCGACTGGATTCTGATCATACAACTTTGAACAACAGTACAAAAGTTCATCTTGCTACACACTATATAGCACTTGATTGAAAAAACAATTCCGAAGAACTATAATGAACGGGTACGTACGGAAGAAAAAATAATTACACTGAAGAATCACTAGGGTTTAACGGATTTTGAAGGTCATACAGTGGATTTACCAGCACCATTGGAAACGACTGAGATATATCACCAACAGCCTCTAGCCAAGTACACTGCATCCAATGTGGCTCACACTGACAGTGAAATATTGCATGGGTTGGTGTAACGTTTTTGTCTGCCAACCCCTAAATATTCCAACACAATCTTACGCCAGCTAACGTTAGTGGTTAGGAAGGCTGTGTTTATTTACAAACCATTAACGTTTCTACCGCTGAACATTTTAACTTCAGTGAGTTAAAGCATGTCTAAATTGCAATAAAACTATTCGGATGGTTACGGATAAACAAGATACCGGCGAAGTAAAGTGGATCCGTTTCAATCTACTCCATATGTTGTTACTGCTCAGCTCAATATCTTGGTATCAGGACATATCCAATAACAGGCGTAATCACAATTTTTCCCATTAGTAGTATTCCTGAAGGTGACATTTGTGGCAGTATTTCCCAAGGAATAATTTTCTCTACTGAGGTTTTAAAACCAAAGACATTCACATTAAAAATAATCGATGAGATATACATTGAGGTATTTACGGTGAGTGGTGTTCGTCAAAGACGCTTAGCCTCCTCACTTTCATTCCCCCTAGGTTGAAGCATAAGTACTGAGACATCTGACTGTTTAGTGAAGTGTCCCATTATTTTAAATATAGCTAAGAAAACTAGCTATAAAAACTGAACCCACACAAACTACAAACTATTAACCACTGTGGCCTCTGCAATGGTTGCCGAGTGGTAAAACAACTGCACACACAGTCAACGGATTTGGCATAGAAAACAAAGTAAGGTTGGCCGAATAAACTAAAAACATTCACTCCCTGAAACATCACCTTGTCTATCTCAATTCGCTACATGAAGGCAGGAACAGATTGGAGGGCCATATCATGTTTGAACCAATGCATGAAACTAATGCTTAGTGAACTGTCGAAACAGGAACTTTAGATAACCTGTTTGGAATCCACTCGACCACAAAAGTAATCAGTGGTGATTCACTTAATTTTTCTTTTTCATGTTTATTACACTGGAAAATCCTAAAAGAAAAATTTATTCAGTGAATCATACAGGAGTAGTAAGCACATTCTGATAATATACTGGCGTTGCGTTAGGTCGTACCAAAGATTCTTCTGAGACACTTAATAAATTTTGACTGAACCTTAAGGTACTCTTCGCAGCCTTGAATAAAAAATATGTTCCATCGGGAGCACGTCGACTCACAAAACCAGTTAAACAACTCAGTCTACATTCTGCTAAAAACTACGACGCCTCACAGCTCACTGCAAGCAAGTGAAAGTGTAGTCTTCACGGCAAAAGCGTTACTTCATCAAACTGATTTCACACACACACGACCAGTTGAGACACCTCTCAAAAGAGATGCAAATTACTTGAAACGTTATTGCGTACCTACCTGGTTCGCGTAGATGTCTGTCTTCGTGGCGTACCTTGATAACACGAGGTATGTAGCAAACGACCTCGAGAACGCTAAAATGTAAAAACCAAACCATCAATTAATGCTGAGTAGCAATATTAAGCAACTGGCGGGCCCACCTATCACTTGTATATAAAGCTTTTCAGAAAAGAATTGGGAAACCAAGACCATTACAGAACTACATTTTTTCCACAATATTCTCCCGAAATATCTGCAGAGGAACTTTTCGACGACTGAGATTATAGGAGGCTTGCAAAACATTTGATCTCCTGAGGATACTTTTTCCGTTGAGCCAAAGTTAAGCCGAATTGGAACTGGTAACATCGAATGCCGTCAACTGCAGCAGGTACAGACAACTTCTGTCAGTAGATACGAGAACCGCATTTATAACTGCAACATCCAACATTTATTCGTTTCTCAATCACGAGTCCGTGCTCCCAAAATGACGTGTTTTCAGTGTCAAGTAGCTTCCTCTTCATTATGCATGAAAGTTAACAAGAGCGACTTGGTTTATAAACACACTGTATCCATGCTTTATAAGTCCATATTTGGCGAAACTACAATCAGGTATCACTAACAATGAGGCTAAACAGTTATCATAATAAATTTGGTATCTCCAAAAATGTCAATATCTATTTTCATACTCACCAAATTATCCTTTGACATCCCGTATTTTGGCGTAGTCAGCTGGCGCGCAGACCTTGAGTTTGGATTACTCTCGGAAGAGTAAGGTGGTATTTGGGTGGATAAGATCTCTGATTTCCTACGTTGTTCTCTAAGCATTGCGTTTCTGATCGCGATACGACGAAGTTGGGCTCTTCTATTTGCTATTGACATTAGCATAATAAAATTAGGCGGACGTACCAATATAAAGTCTCCTAGAAACCAGGGATCTGGATGTTATTTGCTGGGGACTGGGTATATTCGTAGTTTTTACTTTGTTCAACACAGATGCTCTACCATTCGACTTGCTTGATGTAGTTGGTGCTTTGCGCTCCGTTAATTCAACCCTCAGAATGCAACCCCCGAATTCGGTTAGATCATAAACTAAAGCAGTAGCGGCAGCGTCCTGTGCAGAAGCCATTTGTACAAATCCAAAACAGCTGCCGGGAGTACGGGTACTCACAACCACGGTTGCTGATATCACCTGAAAAACTATCCTCACTGAGACATAACATACCTTCCCTGTTTTGCTAAAGTGTTTTTTTAGATCTGCAGCCTTCACTGATGTTGGCAAGTTACTTATCCACAAGTTCTTACGATTTTCTTGCACGACAAATGACTTATTTAACTGGGAGGCACCACTAGTCTGCTGAGTGACAATGGCACTAAAAAAGAAACAGCTTGTGTCAGAGGTGGATACATATAATCATATCATTCGACAGAGAATTACGAACCTTTCTGGTTTTTCTTCAAGTTTACAAGACTCTCCAGTAGTGCTTTGAACATTCTTGCAGGAATTTATATTCTCACACATGCCATTGCTTTCACTTTGTAGGTCGTAATCTAAATCTTCTTCCTGCTCGCCAACTTGAACAACGTATGGGACGGACTCTTCAGTTATTTTTTTCTGCACACACTGGCCACTGATCATAAATTCATCACTCAACAAATCATTTGACGGATCACGTCCTTTGATAGAAGGTACTTTTTCTTTCAACAGAATAAGAGCAGAAAGTCAGGAATTATCATTAGCAGTTTCAATGACATAACTTCGAAGTAATTCTTTTTAATCAGGCCAGTTACTGGCAGTTAATTTCCCAGCCATAGTAAATGAAGTGGTCAATGATGGATTAAACGTTCGGCTTAATAAGTTCAAATACAACCTCAGTGCTGCAGAACCAGATGTTTTGAGCGCTCCAGTGTACATTGATGAAAATACACCTTATCAACACATCAGTTCGCTTTCCATCAAGGCTGCTATATCCGCACCTGAAGTGATACCCGTATGTTTATTCCACTCTGTAGGGATTGAATTGCGGACACGTAGTGCCTTAAATTAGTGTTTCCTAAATACACATTCATATACATGACGGTGAGTTAATTGAATAGGACTTCATGAATAGCAGCTGTTACACCTTTTGAACGACTTGTTAAAGTTCACCCGAAGCAGTTCGTTTTAATCATGAGGCTGAGAACTGGGGCTTTAAAAACAACCTCCATAGTCATCTTATTTTGGAAATGTAGCACATTAGAGCGGTTTCTTGGGTGTTTATAACTTAACACACTAGAATTTGACGTACATTGAGCAGCAGCATTCGACACTATAAGAAAACTCAGTACTCCAAGCTACTGAGACTGCAATTGATATGCACATTGTCACGTTAAGCATAACATGTCACCGACCATCTGTCCGTTTTCTCATTCAACAAGATTCGAAATCCCAGGCAGCAACTTAACACTCAGTGTCATTAGGAAAATATCAAATATCTTAAACTGATGAGTATATTCAGGCTTATGATTAAGCATACAAGTGAAAATAAGCTAACATAGTAACAAGATATGCATTATAGAAATTGAGCTTACCATGCTCGTGTGCGTCACCATTTAAGGACTAAACAAGTACAAATATAAATGATGCTAGAACAAACCCAGTGATCAGAGGTTTCCCGTTCAAGCTTTACGTGCACATCATCATTCTTGAAACGATAGGTTTGTGGATCATGGCCATCTTTTTCTAGAGTCTAAAAAGTAGTCAGACACTTCATATGCAATAACCTCTTTCAGGCGATCAAGCAACACTTGCTTTACACCCGTCTTATCTTTATTGCGCTTTTCTAGCTCTCTGCGGAGCTCAGCAACTTTGAGGTCAGAAATTGGCCGTCCGTCCATCCCCACTTGTATTTGCCACAACAAGAGAGCGCCAAGTTTGAAGAAACAAGGATGATTCAATACCCAAATCGTCCCTACCAGCTAGTTTAAACTAAAGGGGTTTCTTTATTCTCAATTCTTGCTTCTAAGGCAAGGGTCCATGATCTTCTTTAAATTCCTGAGCAGTGTGTGTTGTGACTTGACTGCCGTAGCTCTGACTGACTCGAAGGAGAGTAATCCGGGAAAAGGTTCTACATGATTTGAGGAATGTGGTATGTTAAGACTGTTTAGCAGCTGTGAACGGAGTTGACCTTTTCACCCATTATTCATCCAGCGGGACAAAAACAAAGATGATAATATAATTAGTGTGGGTTATGTATATTGTAAGGAAGACGTCAAAACAGAAGGATAGTGGAATATATTAATTGTTAAAACATTATGGTAGAATAGGCATACGCTTAGGTGGGGTAGTCAGAAAAGTGGTAGAAGGGAAAATAGGTAGTGATAAAAGCCAAATTCAATTGTATACTCAATAATAGTGTGGTGAAAGTTTTGACGAGACGGATCATTCGGATGAAGTCCTTGTTCCATTATATAACTGTCCAGCTTTCAGCTAGGGCTTTACACGAACAGTACAGTATTGCTAGAGAATTCCGAGGACATCGGAGAAGTGGCAATGAACACGAGTCTTCACTCTTTGATGTGCTATTCTACTTGGGTCGCTATGAGGAAGCCCGTAGTGAAATAGCAGAAGAATAACTTTGTTTCGGTGATTCCGGTGAGTGGCTTTATTACATCTCCCCGTTAACTGTGGCTTTGAAATCTGTTGCTATGTTGATATATTGACAAATTGTATTTTTTACGTGCTTTCAAACGAAATTTTGCATTATGTTTCTGACGTACATTATATCGGCGTCATAATTTATTTGAACTGTGTTACATTTTCTGGACTTCTATAAGAAAATATTTCTTGGTACTAATATCTGAGAAATGCAATGGATAAAATTAGGGAGCAAGCTCAAAATTTTGATTTTTCGAATTTTCGTGAAATCATGTCAGTTTATTCGGACTATTTGACAAAACTCTGCTGTCCTAATTGGTTTAGTTGTTTTAATCACTGATAGTTTGATTTCAGCATTAATTTGTATCTTCACATATTTAGCACAACCTATTCTTCATTTTAAAACACGAGACATTAACACTATGATCACATTGTGTAGCACTGTGGTAAACTTGTATTTCAGGCGGCCTTTATTTAGCGTAAACATTTGATTGCTGTAAGATTCTAACTTCATAAACTGAAGCTCATACGTAAAACAAGGTTATTAGCATAGTCAGAATACGGACAAGTTGGGCAGAAGGTATGTAAGACTTTATTTGGCAATTTGTTCCCGTAAATGCGATCGCACATCGAGTTGCACTGAGAATATACACAAAGTAAAGGGTTGCGAACGCCTTGCTCCTCTCTCCAGTATAGGACATTTAACGACACAAATGAATTACTTCACAATATTCTTCCTGTTAAGTTTAGTGAGGACGAACAGAAGTCCTTCCACCTCAGTGTTTTATGAGTGAAGTTGGTATGGAGCTCTCCTACTAAAACCATAAGTGTTAATGCCTCACTAAGTCTTGTGAACTTCCTGCATAAATTTAATCATTGTCAAATATTCATCTAACAACTGCTGGACTTTGTAATGAAAATAAAACTATATTTCCTAATTCCAAGGGTTGTTGTCATTTGTATTTGTATCACCACTTACTGAGTTTACACAACCGAAATATCCGTCTCCTCCCTTATTGATAAAACACTACCTTGCTTGAAAAAGTAGTACATCATTTAATGAGTTTCATAAATTCCACAGAATGCTGTTTCTGAATTACCAAGGAAAAAATATTTCCAGGCGGGATGTAACTCAAGGCTCATTTCTACAAATATCGTCCTTATCCTAGCTTGATTCCAGCACACATATATTAATAAAATCCTAACTGACTTTAGCAACCTCGCCTAGTTAACTACCCCGCTAGTTTTCTAGCCGGTCCCAAGCCCGGGTAAACGGGGAGAGCTGGGCGTGGAGTTAGCGACCCTACACCACTAAATATTTCAAACCGCTAGAGAAACTTCAGCATAGAAAATATATTAAAAAAGGGAAAACTTCGATTAAAAATCTTATTCTTCTCTCGAATCGGAGAGGCGAAATGACGCGGGCTGATGAAAGCTTTCGGGAAGCCATTCAGCCGACTTGTGTTCTCTCGATGAAAGCAAGAGAAAGAATGGGTACGTGGAATGTCCGTACAATGTACGAGACTGTGGAGACTGCCTAGGTAGCCCAACAGATGCAAAGATATGGCTTAGAAGTACTGGGTATCTGCGAAAGCAGATGGAATGGATGTGGATTGACAACGTTGTCAGCGGGAGAGTCAATAATCTACTCCGGTCTGGTCACCCAGACGGCAACCACGAACACACTGAGGGAGTGGTAATCACGATGTCACCAGTGGCAGCCAAAGCCCGAATGCAGTGGGAACCAATTTTATCCACGACCATGACAGTAGGATTCAACTCCGAAGGAAGGAAGGTAACAATAATCCAAAGCTACCCACCTAAAACAAGGCGGAACAAGAAAAGTGGGAGGAGACTTACAAACAACTACAAACAGTAATGGACAATGTAGCAAATGGTGACATCAAAATTCTTATGGAAGATATGAATGTAAAGCTGGGAGCATATAATACAGGAAGAGGAATCATCATGGATCGAGAGGCCCTCGAGGAAATGAATGAGAACGGAGAATTATTTTCAGACTTCTGCTCTTTCAGCGGTTTGGTGATCGAAGGGAGCGTGTGCAAACAAAAGGATATACAAAAAGCAACATGGATTTCGCCTGATGGACATACCGCAAACCAAATAGATTTCATCTCAGCGCACATCGAGGAAGTGGAGACGCAGCTAGTCTGCTGGATACAAAGTCGGCAATAGGAGCAGATTTGGGCTCAGACCATAATCTAGTTCAAGGAACCTACAAGCTGAAGCTGAAATCCATGAAAACAAATGCAGACATACCACAATTCAAATTCAATGTTCGGAAAATGAAGGACAAAACTACAAGGAATGCGTTCGCTAAGGATTTCAGAGCAAAGTCAGATACACCAGATGTCACCACTCAGGAAACCTGTATGGAAGAACATTGGAAATCTCTGTTATAACTTCAGTGAACCTAAATAACCCCGTAGGCAGTTTGTTTTAAATGATACCGAACTGAATGAGAACCGTTTTCACTTTGTTCTGTCTGCGCCTGGCTGATATGCCTATTTGACTTAGGTACATTCTGATTCACTGAGCCAAGCAAATCTCAAAAGACTAATGCTGGTCTGTGACTGTATATTGTAATCACAACAACAACAAGAACGACAACTGAGAAAACAACACATGGTATTTATACATTTTCTTTACAACAATAAAGTCGTCCTCATGACCGTGAAAAATGATTCATCGCATAATTACTCACAACATGCGTGAGAGATGATGATATATTACTTTGTGCGGGGTCCTATCACTCTTCGAAATCGGTATTTTAGGAATCGTGTATAAGTGTACCAGGAAGAAGGTGTATTCGATACAAGGAATGGCTGTCAACGGATACCTGGAAGCTAGTCGAGGAGTGGGGGATGATTAAATATAAAACGACTCAATGCAAATATGCACAACAATGGGTTGATCACTTTAAATGACTAGTGAATCGACCACCATTGGCAACTTGCCCAGAAATACCACAAACAGCACGCATAGAACTGCCGGTGGACACCACTCCTCTAACAAAAGAACAAATCCTGATTACTATCAAGGTATTGAACGCCGGCCGGGAAGGCAGTCAGTCCAAGCGGCATTCCTCCCGATGCACTGAAAACGGCCCAAGAGATTACGGCAGATGTTCTGACTCCATCACTGCAAAAGGTTTGGAAGGAAGATAAGGTGCCTACTGATTGGAAGAAGAGATATCTCGTTAAACTGCCAAAGAAGGGCGACTTAGGCCTGTACAAGAACTGGCATGGAGTCATGCTCTTGCATACACCAAGTAAAATACTAAGCTGCATCATCCTGGAGAGAATAATAAATGCACTGGATGCAGAAGTCGCTCCACTGGAACAAGCTGGTTTCAGGAAAAGTAAGTCATGTGCCTGTCAAATCGCAACTCTACGCATCGTCATCGCAAAACAAAGTACAGAATGGCAGTCAAACCTCCACCTCAACTTCATCGACTTCGAAAAGACCTTCACCAGACAGCGCTGACCGAGAAGTAATTTGAAAACTACTTCAACACTACGGCGTGTAGTGCCCAAGTCTTTATCAACCTCATTTAACAGCTGGCTATATGACAATGCCACGTGTCATGCAATCCACAACGGGAAGTAAATACAGGGGTAAGACACGGCCGCCTATTATCACCGATGATATTCTCAATTGTGGTGGACTGGGTTATGCGTCAAACTGTTGGGAGCGAGGAGTCCGTGATATGCTAGACCACCGATAAGACGACTCTAGAAGATCTGGATTTCGCAGATGATATAAGTCTAATGTCATACAAACTCGAAGACTTGTAAGGGAAAACCAAGAAACTGGCTGAAGAGGCAGCGAAAACAGGACTGCGGGTGAACATGGAGAAGATGAAGGTGATGAAGGTAACCAATCAACAGCAGCAACAACCAGCCCCAATCACCATCAATGGGAGAGGTTTAACAGAGGTTGCCTAATTCACTAATCTGGGAAGCATTGCTTCAACTGGGGCGGAAAGGATGAAGATGTCAAAGTCAGAGTCGGAAAGGCAAGATACGCCTTCATCAACCTGAAACCAGTTTGGAAATCTTCCGCACTCAGCAAGAGGAACAAGATTCGAATTTTCAATAGTAGTTTGAAATCGGTTCTTCTCTAGGGGTCGGAAACTTTGTGTGTCACGAAAAGGATTTCCAACAGAATTTCATCAACAGCTGCCTTTGCTGGCCCCATACTGAAGACCAAATGGCCAGAATGAATAAGCAACAAGAAGCTATGGGAACAAATCAACCAAGAAATGGT